ATATCACATAAAAAAATCTAATAAAGTTTTGCAAAATATTGGAAATTGTCTGTAAAAGTCCATATCATATTAATAATTGTGAAGGCTATTAAGTTTTTTAAGGAAAAATGAATTTAATACAATATTTCTTGTTGAACATGTCATAGTTTATTTGTTTTGACTACAGACTAATCATATCTATGAATTGATAGAACTTTCAATCTTAAATTTAAAGCAGAGATTGAGTGTCTATTAAGTTTATGTGAATGTCCCTGTGCTTATACTTTGCACTGCAGCTATTTTGATTCAATGGACCTCTTCCAATTTTACTATAGACTACTAGAACAATCTTCGTTTCTCTCTATGATTAATAAATAAATTGCTTCGCCGAGTGCAGTTGGATACGACCACAGAGGTCCAACCCTGAACAGTTGTGGCAAAAATGCACACAATATTCGCGCATGATACAGGTCTAAATTTGGATTGTAATTAAATATTTGACACATAATAGGTTTCTGACACAGAATAACTGTAGTCAAAGAACTTAGAATTGGTTATATGATTTGAATTTATATTCAATTTTTTGTTTTGTGCAATACACTTTGCTGTTGCAAATTAACCCCCCCCCCCCCCCCCTCCCCACAAAAAAAATAAAAATTACCCCACCTTTTTTTTGCTTTTGTGCAATACACTATGCTGCTGCGTATTGACCCCCACTTTGAAGAATTTTTTTTTTAATTTCTGAAATGAGAAAAAAATTGACCAACCCACAATTTCTTTTTACCCCCCCCCCCCCATTTTTTTTCACCTCCTCCCCTTTCCCCCCCCCCCCCCCCCCCCAAAAAAAAAAAATTCTTTCCCTCAAGATATGGTCATAATCTCAATTCACAAATTTCCAATGGAGTTTGCAACAATAATTACCCATTTAAATACATCATAAAAGTCTAAAAATAGAAAATGACATACATAATCTAATCATGGCTAAAATTAATATTCCTTAATAATAACTTCTAAAAATAAATTGACAGCTAATCATCTCAAGACAATACAACATTTCTTTATACATAATTTAAAAGCAGTGTAAGGGAGGTAATCGTGTTTGGATTACCTCCCTTAAACTGCTTTTAAATTGTCTAAAGTAATTGTCCATTTACCAGGAAACCCTTGTTTATCCCCCTTTTTTGCCCCTAATTCCGATTTGAGCCATAACCCCCTAAAGCCAATCCTAACCATCCCTTTGTGGTACGGAAACTTGTGGTACAATTTCAGAGAGATCCATACACCGTTCCACAAGTTATTGTCTGGAAACTAGAAAAATGCTTATTTGGGCCCCTTTTTGGCCCCTAATTCCTAAACTGTTAGGACCATAACCCCCAAAATATATCCCAACCTTCCTTTTGTGGTTATAAACCTTGTGTTTAAATTTCATAGATTTCTATTAAATTATACTAAAGTTTTGTCCGGAAACAAACTGTCTTCGGATGACGACGACATGATACCAATATACGACCGCATAAATTTTTTGCAGATGTATAAAAAAAGAATGGTATCAAAATTGGTGATCAAAAGTTCTTTCAATAAAACTTAGGCAAGAACTATTCATTCAAATTATGAACAGCAAAAAGTGAAAATCATCAAAACAGCACTTGCTCACTAATGACCCCCCCCCCCCCTCAATAAGTTTTTGAAAAACAGGAAGTTAATGAGCTTTAGATGTGAACACATATCACATGGCATAGCATGCTAACATGAAGGTGTTCAGAAGACCTTGATTTGTAGCACCTGAGAAAATGATGCAACTTTCATTCATGGCCATTATGTGTAAGAATATATAAGTATTTAGTAAACAGGAAGTTGAACATGCACATCACAGAATAGACTGCTCACATGAAGCTTGATGCCAAATTTTGGGAAGCTCTGATATAGTTCCTGAGAAAAATGTGACCAAAATTTGATGGGATAGATTGACAGGCATAAACCAGCTAATCTTCTCTCCTTCAGAGCACAGTTATAACAACATACAAACATCAAAATTGTCAATACTAAACTTCATTTCCATTTATGATCGGTAATAACATATTGAAATTTGGAAAGCATTGCTAGTTATTGCACAGAAACAGCAACCTATCACCCTGGCTCCCACCAACTGTACTACCCTAAATTAACAACAAGATTTTTTCATCAGAAATCACTGCTGAAGGTATTACCTAACAACTACAACTTACTCAAAAGACAATCGCCATATTCCTTCAAAAGAAAGTCTCTTTACTGAAGATCTTACAGTCATTTTCATTTTGAAGACAAGCATCAATAAAAGATCTGTGGTTATGTGTTATTTTTGTCTGATTTTTTAAACATTTATTATACAGAAGACTGTTATCGTGTTCAGAACTACAAGTTGATTGATACCGCCATTTCATATCATCATTAACCTCAACCCTGTTATTTCTTGTTTTAAATATGATGATAGTGGACAGCTTTGCAAAAATTACAAAAAAAAATCCTATCAAGAATTGTCATGAACAAAATTTAATCAATAGTCGCAACTCAAAATCTAATCTACATATAGATGAAAGGACATACAATAAGCTTACAAAACAATTCGACCTTTACATAAAAAGCTTGTCCGACAAGTAGACTCAATTTTCAAAACCAATATTGGTAAATGTACACACTATAACAGAACCATTTCAAACAATTTGTAATTAAATTTTGTCTGCGAGCCTACGGTCATTTTTATTATACTTTGTTTCAGTCAGTTATCCAAGAAGAAAATACTGTCTGTCCATGTCATTAGGGCAAGATCCGATTGGTTTAGATTGATATAACAAACAAATTGCTTCTGAAATGGCTAAATTATCAATGAATACGTCACTAAGGCTTGGTCAACATTAAATAAAGATTTTAAACTTTCTTGACGGGACAATCTTCATCAAATTTCAGAAAATGAAAAAAGTCTTATTGTTTTACATAGTAAGACATTTTTGTGTTTTATGAGATTTATATTTGTAAAAAAAAAGAAAATGTCTGGTTAACTCCATAAAACAAAACATATTATCTTTTCACATTTATACTGCTATTATTTAAACTAGAGATTCAAGGTATAGAACCACATTTTTGGGCCTGGTCTGAAAGAACATACAAGAAAGTAGCACATATTTAAAATAAGATAGTTCCTATGCATAGCTGTAACTTTGTCAATAAGTAAAATATTTGGATAATTTTTGTAGAATATGAAAGCTTAAGGACTTGGGATCACAGTAGAATCCTTGTTGAAACTTTCTTATTAATATCAAAAAGATATATGAAATTAAAATAGGGCATATTTGCCCTGGTGTTCAGATCAGAGGTACCTGTTTTTGTACTACCAAACTTCCTGGAACCAGTGCCCTCTAATATGCAATTAAAGGTATGTTGATTTTTTTATCACAAGTCAAAGAAAGGTTTAGTTTTGACATGTAAAGACTGCTACTTTGTTTGAACTTACGATAAAATAGCTATGAATGCCTGAAATTGCAATATTTAACATAGAAAGCAATGGGGCTTTGAATGAGTGGTTTTATTCCTATTAAATCTTTACTGAAACCTTTTCCATTAGCTTAGTTTTGTGCTATAGTTTTCAGGTGATACAATCCTAAAAAGTGACAATGACAGGATGCATTCACAGACATTTGGTCCCAATACATTCTGTCATTGTAGCGAATGACCCTTTACAAGATTTAATAAATTGCTTCGCAGAACGCAGCTGGATACCACCCCAGAGGTCCAACCCTGAACAGTTGGGGCAAAAATGGACACAATATTCGCGCTTGATACAGGTCTGAATTTGGATTGTAATGAAATATTTGACACATAATAGGTTTCTGACACAGAATAACTGTAGTCAAAGAACTTAGAATTGGTTATATGATTTGAATTTATATTCAATTTTTTGCTTTTGTGTTTGTGCAATACACTTTGCTGTTGCGAATTGACCCCCCCCCCCCCCCCCCCCACCTTTTTAAAAAAACAAAAAAAAATCTTTCCCTCAAGATATGGTCATAATCTTAATTCAAATTTCCAATGGAGTTTGCAACCATAATTACCCATTTAAATACATCATAAAAGTCTTAAAATAGAAAATGACATACATAATCATGGCTAAAATTAATATTCCTTAATCAGCATTTTTAATAGTAACTTCTAAAAATAAATTGACAGCTAATCACCTCAAGACAATACAACATTTCTTTATATATAATTTAAAAGCAGTGTAAGGGAGGTAATCTAAACATAACATCGTACTTTTAAGTAATTGTCCATTAACCAGGAAACCCTTGTTTTCCCCCTTTTTGGCCCCTAACTCCTAAACTGTTAGGACCATAACCCCCAAAATCAATCCCAACATTCCTTTTGTGGTTATAAACCTTGTGTTTAAATTTGATAGATTTTTATTTAATTATACTAAAGTTATTGTCCGGAAACCAACAACAAGGTTCGGACAACGCAGACAACAATGACGACGTGATACCAATAACGACCGCAAAAATTTTTGCGGTTGTATAAAAATTTGTAATTAATTTTTTTCTTCTTTTTTTTTTCAGATATTAATTTTCAGAAATCATGGTGATCATGTTCAATAACAGATATATACATCATTAGTATATGATTTTCCACATATTTTTACCTATTTCATAGAAGCGATTGGCCATAGTCTTATAAAGCAAAAGTAGAAACTACCATACATGTACTTTTTATACTATCTGTGATAATGATACATTTGTTTACCTTAATAGCAGGTTCACAATGTTGTCCTGCTCTGGCTGTAGAATAGTAAGAAATGGACAGTTACTGGTATAAGGTTCTAATCAACTTAACCCTTTAAACCTAAGTAAATCTAGTAATTTACATTGCACTGATCAAAAAAGTCAAATTTTTTTGGTAAATCAGTTAACTATTTACCTGACTAACATCTTTGATGGAACAGTGTAATTTTGGTCCCCAAAAGTAATTTTTGTCATTCAACTCGTGAAAATATTTACCTTAAGTACATCTGGTATGTAGCGTTGTAAAGTTGGTCCACGAAGACAGTGGAAAAGTTCTTCATTCATCTCATAACGTTCCTTTATGTAATCACCTATTGGCTGAAGTTCTTTCTCAAGGTCAAGGTCAGAATCTTCATCTTCTTTTTTGCTATACTAAAGAAAGAAAAAAAATCTAAATTGTCAGATCATATTTATTATGTTACTTGCTACATTTTCCCAAAATTCTGCTATTCCCTATAATTCCCTTTCCTTTGCCAAATGATCATGCTGAAGTTCACTAACACCAACTCTTAAGGTGCTCCCTGTTCAGCTGAAAGTCAAAATAACACAATTTCATAAATGATGCCTTTTTCAATCGAAAATGGAAAAATAAAGAAATTTACGGGCATGTTTAATCTAAAAAAAAATAAATTTGGATACTTTTAAAATGTAAAACTTTCGGGTGAGGAAAACATTGTTTTGGATTTCTCATATGATATGTATGGTAAAAAATGAATGATATAACTGTCTGCTACAATGGCACTACCACATTTCCATGTTAATAAGTGAACCACAAAATCTAGGTACCAACCATAATTTGACATATATTTTTAAAGTTCACACCAAAATGAACATGTTTACTATGTTTAACATTAATGTGACCACAGCTACATGGTAAACTACCTTGACCAAAAACTTTCACCATGTATGTTGACGGTGGGCATATATATATGAAATAACAAGAATTTCAAAATATTGTTTCAAAAGTGTTTTTGAAATGTAAGGTTAGAAAAATATTGAAAATAATAGATGTTGCTGGGTCAAACCTTTCAATCCATATAGCCAATGAAAAGGCCAGCGGGCAACAAAATATAAAGGAAAAGTTAAAAATGTAAAGAGCAAACATGTAGTTTTTATTGCCTTGACTAAACATTCCTTTGGCAACGTCATAAGGAATTGAAAGACCAAGGACTTTAGGGTCCAAAATGTCCTGACATCATGGCCTTTAGACACATTGATTTACAAGACTATATGATTATACTTGGGAATTTTAACTGTAGAGCTTCATGAGGCTAATCAAATTACTTCTCAGAGTGTCTGGCAATTGTTTTTAGAAATGTTACCTTGACCTTTTAATGTAAAAGTTCATATGGTTCATAATCAAATTAAGAATCATAGACTTACAGCTGTTTGCAGTTATTCTGACAAAAAAAAAACTAAGAAAGAATTTTTTGCTCCTCAAAGGAGCAAAAAGAATTTGTTCACTGAATTTTTGCTTTTATAAGCTACCTATTAATACTTAGCTCAATCTTGATTCTGAAGGGACTTTCTTTGAAACCTTGAACCTATGAATATTCTTTCTAATTACATGGGTGTTTTCAAGTGAAAAATTGCTGTCTTGGACAATTTCACATTTGATTGCTAAAAAACATGATTCTACTGATGTGAAAAAAGTTTTACTAATCAATCAAGTTTAACTGATCAAGGTCAGGATATCTTTAATTAAAGTCATTCAACTCAATACATTTAAATATGAGATAAACCATTTAACTATTTTGCAATGTTTTGTATTGATATCAATAATTCACTGATCCAAAAACATCGGAACTTAACGGTCTAAACAAATCTCTTCTTTGCCATTTCCCTCATTTGAACTTTTTTGATTAAAAGTAATTTTTTACACTTTTTCACCATCAATTAATTCAACTGTGATTTATAATTCAAATAAAATCAATTTTTATGTACTTTTCAAAATAACATCTCTATATGCAAATTGCAAATCTCTTTATATTCTAGGTGAATATTTATTAAATTTTACATTAAAGGCAAACTAACATTTGGATGAAAAAAAATGAATCACAAAGGCCTTCCATTTTATATTCCCAGGACGATGAAGGAAATTGAGTTTAATAAAAATGTCTTTAAAATCGTGCTGGGCACAAATTAAAATTTATCAACTTCCCAATAAATCTACAAATAAATTGTCAATTCAAAGCTGAAAAAGTTGAATACACATCCATCGATCTTTTTTCATTGTTATTTCATTTGAAATCCCCCCTGATTGGAATATCAAATTTTTTTAATCATCATAATGGCTTGAATTATTTGTTTTTATTAATCTTTTATCTCAATGAAAATTCCATTCTTCTGGAACTTAAAATAACCAATTTTTAATTTCCAGTTTTATTAAAGTTTATCGAGAGCAATGAAACAGTCATATAGAATTTTCAATTTGTGAAATTGTTGATAATTATTTCACATCAAAGGCTTGTTCTAAGGAAACAATAGGATTCTTAAATACATAGAAAATAAATGCCAATTACATTTATAGAAAATAACTTTCAGAGCTTTATTACAAGAATTTAATGCCAATCCTTAAAGAAAAGAACCATATCATTTTGAAAATAACTTTTTATTACAATATTTCACAACTTTTTCTGTTAATTTATTACATTTTTATGACCAATATGCACATTTGACAAAAAAATAATAATTTGTCTTCCAAGTCAAATGCCTTTCAATTATTATTACTAACACATGGATCCTGAGGACTTTAAATGAGTTTTCTGGCTTCTTTAATCAGTTACTACAATATCATAGATGAGCTAACTTGAAATCAGGGATAAAATGATAAATGCCTTCAAAATTTCATTTTTTCCTAATAATCAAATAATACTAATGCTTCTACGAGAAATTAAAATTATGAATAATTTCATAGAGACTGAACAAAGCTTTTTAACATTTATTCTATTCTAAGTCCATTTATAAAGTTTTGATACCTTTCCTTTTCTACTGTCTCTTTTCTTCAATTTCTTTGACTTTTTCTTAAGATTTTCTCTCTTTCTCTTCCTCTTTTTTTTAGGTTCATCCAAATCTCCTTGAGTGGAGTCAGCAACCATTTTTGCTGCACTCATATTCTTTATCTAATCTGAAATACAAGATATAAATAAAGGGTTCAATCAAACTTCATGGTTGACTGTTGTTGTGATAAAATAAATAAATTTAAATATAAAAATAAGGAGATGGGGTATGATTGCCTATGAGACAACTGATGTGAACAACTACAGATTACCTACTGTACCACCTTCAACAATCAGCAAAACATATACCTTCTATACAGTAAGCTGTAAAAATCCCTTGGATGACAAAATGTCAGCCTAACAGTATCTATCATCCATCACTACTTTATGTGCAACTTACATGTACTCTGAGTAATTAGTCAAATGAATTCTCTGCCTTCGTTCATTCTGGTGAGTAATGTGGAGTACTGTGGTTTTTTCATTTATTTTAGTGGGAAAATTTTTCGTCGATTGAGAATAAAAATTGTGTTTTCCTGGATATTTTATTATGTTGTCTTGCCAAAGTCTGTATGCAAGCCAAGGAAACTTTTACTTTGTTGAATGTTTAAATTTGTGGTTCCAAGTATACCCACAAAATCCATGTAAATTTGTATCCCACAAAAAAAAAAGGATCCACATTAACATCATACATGCATTCAACATTACCAAATAACATCAGGGTAGACAGCTGAACAACACATGCATTCAACATTACCACATTACATGAGGCTAGACAGCTGAACAATACATGCATTCAACATTATCAAATAACATCAAAGGAGACAACTGAACAACACATGCATTCAACATTACCAAATTACATCAGAGTAGACAACTGAACAACACATTCATTCAACATTACCAAATTACATCAGGGTACACAGCTGAACAACACATGCATTCAACATTACCAAATTACATCAGGGTACACAGCTGAACAACACATGCATTCAATATTACCACATTACATCAGGGTAGACAGCTGAACAACACATGCATTCAACATTACCACATTACATCAGGGTAGACAGCTGAACAACAGATGCATTCAACATTACCAAATAACATCAGGGTAGACAGCTGAACAACACAAGCATTCGACATTACCACATTACATCAGGGGAGACAGCTGAACAACACATGCATGCAACATTACCACATTACACCAGGGTAGACAGCTGAACAACACATGCATGCAACATTACCACATTACATCAGGGTAGACAGCTAAACAACACATGCATTCAACATTACCACATTACATTAGGGTAGACAGCTAAACTACACATGCATTCAACATTACCAAATTACATCAGGGTAGACAGCTGAACAACACAGGCATTAAAAATACAAAATTACATCAGGATAAACAGCTGAGATACACAACTATTTTATTGTACATTTGATATACTTTGACAGAGTCAATATAAAGATAAGAAGATGTGGTATGATTGCCAATGAGACAACTCTCCACCAGAGTTTAAATAAGTGGATGTAAGCAATTATAGGCCACTGTACAATCTTTAACAATGAGAAAACCCCATAATGTATAGTCGGCTTTAAAAGGCCATGACCTTAAAAATGTGAATAAAATGCTTCGCTGGGCGCAGCTTGATACGACTGCAGAGGTCGAACCCTGAACAGTTGGGGCAAGTATGGACACAACATTCAAGCTTGATACAGCACTGAATTTGGATTGTGATTAAATATTTGACACAGCATAGGTTTCTGACACAGAATGAATGTGCTCTTAGAACTTAAAATTTTTTAATTTACCTATTCAAACCATATCATTATTATTTGCTTTTATATATAAATCAGAAATAACCAATTTAAAATGGAAAATTTTAAAGAAAAAAAAAGGAACCCCCCCCCCCCCCCAAATTTTTTGAACCCCCTTATGATTCATCACCCCAAACTCAATCCCAGCCTTCCCTTTGTGGTATTGTACCTTGCAGTACAATTTCAGAGAGATCCATACACTTGAACACAAGTTATTGTCTGGAAACTAGAAAAATGCTTGTTTTTTGGCCCCTTTTTGGCCCCAAATTCCTAAATGTTTAAGGCAATTACCCCCAAACTCAAACCCAGCTTTCCCTTTGAGATATAGAACCTTGTAGTACAATTTCATAAAGATCCATACACTTACAAACAAGTTATTGTCCTGAAACTAGAAAAATGCTTGTTTTTTCCCCTTTTTGGTCCTTAATTCCTACAATTTTGAGGCAATTACCCCCAAAATCAATCCCAGCCTTCCCTTAGTGGTATGGTACCTTGCAGTACAATTTCAGAGAGATGCATACACTTGAACACAAGTTATTGTCTGGAAACTAGAAAAATGCTTATTTTTGGCCCCTTATTCCTAAACATTTTGGGAAATTACCCCCAAACTCAATTCCAGCTTTCCCTTTGTGATATGGAACCTTGACGTACAATTTCATAAAGATCCATAGACTTACACACAAGTTATTGTCATGAAACTAGAAAAATGCTTGTTTTTTGCCCCTTTTTTGGCCCCTAATTCCTAAAATTTTGAGGCAATTACCCCCAAAATCAATCCAAGCATTCCCTTTGTGATATGGAACCTTGTGGTTCAATGTCAGAGAGATCCATACACTAACACACAAGTTATGTCTGGAAGTTACAAAAATGCTTATTTTTGGCCCCTTTTTGGCCCCTAAGTCCTTAACTGTTGGTACCATACCCCCAAAATCAATCCCAACCTTCCTTTTGTGGTATTGAACCTTACGGTAAAATTTCATAGAGATCCATTCACTTAAACTAAAGTTAGAGTGCGAAAACCAATGTGTCTTCGGACGACGACGACAACAACAACAACGTCATACCAATATACGACCACAAAATTTTTTTGCGGTCGTATAAAAAATTAAAACAAACTATTTCGAACATTAAAAACATATATAACACTTTCTTTGTTCTTAAATACAACTATAGTGTTTTCCATTTTTTTTTGTCAAAAGTTAGGGATTTTGGATCTCCCTCTTTTTTAATTGGTCAAAAGGGGAAACTGACAAAAATATTTATTAACATATATGGACTTGGTTTGTTAAAAATATTTTAAAGTGTATACTCTCTACATTGAAAGTAGTGGTTCTACTGCCTTTACTTCTCTGCATGCATGGTGTTATATGTATGATGATTAAATGTCACTCATCAACTTCTTCAGAGTGATGTTGTAAGCTCATTATTATTCAGTTTCACATCAAAGAGGTAAACTAAAAACCCAAAACTTATTCAGACAATTAAACACAACTAGAAATATGGTTTTTGGTTTGTACTAAATTTTTAATGTTCAAACTATTAGCAATTATTAAAGTAAGATAGGACTGAGTTTAGCCCTTGGCTGGTTTAACAGGAACCAAATAAACAAATATTGTAACCAGACATTGTGTTTAATAACTGTTAATAATTTAACCTTTAATTATAATATCCTGAATAATATTTTGAACTAAAAATTCATCATTTATGCCAAATTATGGTGTACTCTATCAAACAAATTCATACCCAATGAACAAAAACTCAAATTACTGAAACTGAGCTGAAAATTTCACTGTAGATTATTAGTTAGAATTAGGATTGTAAACATATTTGATTATGACAAATAACTGGTGTATCTCTATATCAATCCATAAAAAATTCTAGCAAGGTCTCGATATTTGATAACACCATATTAAGTCATAAACAGGAAGCTTTTTTCAATTTCAAAAATTTTTAAGACAAAAAATAGTCAGTACTGTTGTCTATGATTTGAATGTAAATTAAACATTTCACAAGAGTGAACAGTACTGTCCAAACATATCCTTTTAAGTATAATTACACAAGAGAGTACAGTACTGTCTAAACATATCCTTTTAAGTATAATTACACAAGAGAGTACAGTACTGTCCAAACATATCCTTTTAAGTATAATTACACAAGAGTGTACAGTACAGTACTGTCCAAACATATCCTTTTAAGTATAATTGGAAAAGCTGATAAATATGTTTTGTTTAACTCAGGTAGAACTTACAAAATAATTTCAAATTCCTCTTCAGGAATAAACTTAAAATTATAAAGGTAATATTAATAACAAAAGCTATATATTTAAAGTGTATCAGCTGCCTCAATGGTAAAGTAGTCTGTAGTTATTGCCAATAACTTGTACCCAGTTGTCAAAATGTTCAAGTAGTCTTTGTAGTTATTGTCAATAACCTGTATGTACAGGTGCCTATGTGTTCAAGTAGTCTGAAGTTATTGCCAATGACCTATATACAGGTGCCAAAGTGTTCAAGTAGTATATGCAGCTATTGCCAACGACTTTTACACAAGTGCCAAAGTGTTAAAGGAGTGTATGTTGATATTGCTAATAACATATACCCAAGAAGCAAAGTGTTCAAGTGTTCAAGTATCCATGTTGTTATTGCCAATGACCTCCATCCAGGTGCCAAAGTGTTCAAGCAGTGTATGTTGTTATTGCCAATAACCTATATCCAAATGCCTAGGTGTTCAAGTAGTCTTTGTTGATATTGCCAATAACCTGTGCTAAGATGGCAAAGTGTTCAAGTAGTGTATGTTGTTATTGCCAATAACCTATATCAAGGTGCCAAAGTATTCAAGAAGTCTATGCTGTTATTGCCAATGACCTGTACCAAGGTGCCAAAGTGTTCAAGAAGTCTATGCTGTTATTGCCAATGACCTGTACCAAGGTGCCAAAGTGTTCAAGAAGTCTATGCTGTTATTGCCAATGACCTGTACCAAGGTGCCAAAGTGTTCAAGAAGTCTATGCTGTTATTGCCAATGACCTGTACCAAGGTGCCAAAGTGTTCAAGAAGTCTATGCTGTTATTGCCAATGACCTGTACCAGGGTGTCAAAGTGTTCAAGAAGTCTATGCTGTTATTGCCAATGACCTGTACCAAGGTGCCAAAGTGTTCAAGAAGTCTATGTTGTTATTGCCAATGACCTGTACCAAGGTGCCAAAGTGTTCAAGAAGTCTATGCTGTTATTGCCAATGACCTGTACCAAGGTGCCAAAGTGTTCAAGAAGTCTATGCTGTTATTGCCAATGACCTGTACCAAGGTGCCAAAGTGT